GAAACTCCTACTCGCACGGGGATAACGTCGACCCCAACAGGCCGGATTGCTATAGCTCGACACTACTTCATTGTGCTGCACAGAGTGAGCACGAGAGAATAGTGAAAATACTACTCGGACGGGATGATGCCGATCCCGACAAGCCAGATAAGAACGGCTCGACACCACTTCATTGTGCTGCTCGGAGAGGGCACGGGGGAGTAGTGAAAATACTACTCGCACGGGATAACGTAGACCCCAACAAGCCTAATAACCACCGCTGGACACCACTCTTTTGTGCTGCATGGCATGGGCACGAGGGAGTAGTGAAAATACTACTCGCACGGGATCACGTCGACCCCAACAAGCCCGATAACGACGGCTGGACGCCACTCTTTTGTGCTGCTCGGAATGGGCAAGAGGGAGTAGTGAAGATCCTACTCACACGGGATGACGCCGACCCCAACAAGCTTAATAACGACGGCGGGACACCACTATACTGTGCTGCCCTGAATGGGCACGAGGGAATAGTGAAAATTCTACTGGCACGGGATGAAGTTGACCCCAGCAAGCGTGATAACAACGGCCGGACACCCCTCCAGTTTGCTGCTGAGCGTGGCCATGCCGGAGTGGTAGCTCTATTTCGACCCCAAGCGTCTGTCACCCCCGGTGCAGCCTAAATCCAAGGAGATATCACCTCCCCACCTCCTCCGAATACAAATGACCCACCCCCATTCCCACGACCGCAATATCAACTCCATAATCTCCCCCGCCGCCGTCTCTTCCATTGCCCCCCTCCCCTTATCCCCTCCCCGAGTTTATAACACCCCCTTCTTTTAATTTTTGTCTTCCTTCCCTTCCGAAGATAGCCTGCTGCAGAAGCCTGACGAAAGGTTTTCTCTTGGTGAACGGAAATGGTATACTGGTTGGCGGCTAGAATGTATATATCTTCCAAGTTCTCTCCTAACCTTCTGTAAAGATTATCGAGCCCCCGTCTACAATCCATGGCTTACTTGTAGTAGAGGGCCATTTCTACCATTGTGTTATATAGAGTACATCCTAAGCCCCGCTTGGAGTTTTCGCTACAATACTTACTCCCTCTGTTCATTTGCTTTTCTTTCCCCTAATTCTTTTCCTTTTTTTCCCTTTTCTTCCTTTCAAGTTCTGGATTTTGAACGAGCGGTGGAACGGCGGTGGTCGCAATGGCTCCGGCAACGGCGAACGAACAGGGATCTTTCAAAACTGGCCAATCGGAAGCCAGCCGAGTGACGGGCTATGAAACGAAACGCCAAGCTTAAGCACACAAAAGAGGATCACCCAAGGCAAAGAAGAAAACTTTTCACTTTCACTCTCTCCCGCTCCCTAACTATCGCATGCTCTTCTAACTAACGGCGAACATAGGAGACTATATCAACCATGGGCGATGCCCGAGAAACCACAGACTCCCCTCACCCCCCCAGGTAATTCCTCCACTTCCCTCTCTCAAGCAAACACGCAAACTAACAAAAGGAAAGACAAACTGATGCCTCCCCCCCCCCCAGGCAAGTTCCCGTATCCTCCGAGCAAACAAGAAAGAACTAACAAAGGAAAGACAAACTTGCGCTTCCGCCGTGCGCCATTCCGCGGTGCTCTCCCGCCGCGCTATTTCGCGGTGCTCTTTCTCCCCGCGCATTCCGGCGCTCTACCTGCGGTCCTCCGGCGCGCGCTCCTGCTCCCTGCGTTCTTCCGCGCTTTCTATCGCGCTCCGGCGCTTTTCCTGCGGTCCTCCACCGCGCGCCTTCCCCACCCGTCGCTGAGCGCTCTCCGTCGCACTCTGGCGCTCTTGCCATCGTACGATATCTCCCGTGCGCTCAGCACTTCGCCGCCATTCTCTCTGCGCTCCTGCGCTCTGCCGCCATTCTCTTGCACTCCGCTGTGCGCTTCCAAAGCGCTCTTCCGAAAAACTAACAAACAAGCAAACAAGCAAACCAATGCGGGATGGGAAGAGGGGGGAGGATAAGGGAATGGGAAGGGGATAGGGAATGGGAAAGGGGAGGGGAACCCGGGGGATAGGAAATGAAAATCGGGAGAGGGGGAAAAGAGTAGGAGGGTATCGGGCAGGTGTGGGGAGCAGCCTTGGACTTCCAACACTGGACCCAAAGCTCGTTCAGTAATAGAGAAAACGCAAAATGAAAGTATTTCTCGCATTGGTCAAAAGTGACGAAGAGCCAGCTGTGGACCAAGGGCTCATGGCGACAGATTCCCTCAATGAACGCAGTTTAATAAAGGCCCCACCCATACCCCACCCCCCTCCCAGTTCCTAATATGCTAAGCTCGGAAGCTCACCCATATTTGACCCCGCCAATCCACGAAATCAGCACCGCAAGACCCTTCAACTACATAACCACCTTCTATAAGTATCATACAAACTCGTATAGCCCTTAAACTCAAACCCCCTGGCACAATTTCCGATGCAAACTACCCAATCGCATACGGCAGACACTAATCACCCCGCACTAGTATTGTACATTCCCCTAACCTACCCCTACGTGCAAGACCAAACTCGGGGAAGACTGCCCCCCCGGAAGCAGCCTCTCAATTATTATTTTACTAACCGCCTCCTCAAGTCATTTTGAGCGAAAGCATCCTCAGCCCATCAATCCCAGGCTGGTAAGAAATGCCTCTCTAGTTAAACACTGCACCGTGATTGCAATGACAGTGAATAGTAGCTGCCACGACCTAATATTTAGTACAAAAGTAGATTT